TGAATTATCGAATTCGTTTTCCCCGAGCTCATTTTTCCAGGCATTGTTTCCAAATGCGCTAATTGAAGGGTCTTCTGGCAATTCCAACAACCGCCCGTCAATTATAGAAAAAATCCCCGATTGTAAGTGAAAAGAAAGGCTTTTGAGAGGGAGATGAATTGAAATGAAAGCCTCAAATAGGAAATGAGTGAAAACGCAAGACTTGGGAAAAGATAATGAATTAAAATGAACCCCAACGTGCAGCGCATCTACGTCATCATCTATGCTCGGAAGCACAACGCCATGCAGCAGATCGGCGACACAGAGCACTTGAACCCGTTCTCGGCGCACAAGAAGGCCATGAAAAAAGCAGGTGCATGGAAGAAGCCGGCCTCTTCCAAGTATGCTTGCCGTCCTGTCAAGAAGACTCATCTGAAGCGACCCTCCGCCGCAAAGTGACAGTTTTCTGTACCATATCCTTTTGCCTTTGCAAATTCAAGTGTGAAAAGCATTTGTGCGAGAGTTTGTATTTCTCGCAGTACATTGCTACGCAGGAATCCTTCAAATTCAAGTGTTTATAAAATCTTTGAACTACTTGTTCTATGTATCGTCCGTATGCTTCAAACTGTTGATAAACACTTGATTGGGGATGTAGCTTATGGGGCTAGTACTGCGATTTTCTCAGCTCTCAGCATCGTTTGGCATATGTGATGACATAGCGCAATGTCTGCAAAAAGATATCTTGCTTGCTGACTGATAGAATGATGCATGGTTACTCTTCCATTCTTTGTCCATCCGTTTCCGTGTGACCTCTTGCTGTTTTCTATTTCCACCCTTTCCTGTCAAACCAGCTTCAGATCTCAACCGTGTTAGTCTGAGAGTGGCATATGTGCAATGTAGCATGACGCTTGAACCTGGAACTGCTCCCTTTCTTGAACGGATCTCATCACTTGACGACATTCCCCTACCTATACCATGCGTAACCGTATGGTCCATATAATATTCTATGTTCCTGTTGTTCAGGGGCTTACTGTCCAACCAGGGTTTGATATTTTGGCCTTGTGCCTACGCGCTGTATACTATACAACAGAACACTGCACCAGCTTTGCTGTGTGCGCATGAGCACTTCCTCCCAGCCCACCCTCCCTGCATGTATGGGACATTTTCCAACATGTAATTTCATACTATCAATCTAAAATTGCGTTTGCGCCGTTCATGGACTGCAATTCCATGTTAGCAATGCTTTCATCGCCGTTCACGCAATGCAAGTGCTAGCCTTCGATGTTCTATCATTGCCATGGCGTGGTAGAAAACATCTCGTGATCCAAAGACAGCTTGAGAATGCAAGCTAACCAGTGAGAGATTCAGCGAGAGCGCCCTTCATGCGATGTAAGTGATCACCGGCTATGTTTTAGCAGTGGAATGGAAAGACAACATAACAGGTTCTAAGGGTATGTAAACGCAAACTGAAACATATCACCAGGCAAGGATTAATCTAAAATTTAACTTTCTCTTGTACCGGGATAAATTATAGGTTGGAAACTAAATGAAGAAAGGCACAATTAGAGACACAATTGCTACTGAAACAATGATGAGCAAAACGAATCAGATCATAACAGATCATCACCAGAGCACTCGATTACATCATGTCGTTAAAAAAAAAAACACTAAAATGTTTATTTAAAAAAAAAAAAAACATAGAAAAACACTAAAAACTATCGTAAAACACGGGCCCTGACAACGTCTCACTCTCTATTTCATTTCCCTATTACTTCCCTATGTTTTCCCTATTAACTCCCTATTATTTTCCTATTATTTCCCTATTATGTCCCTATTATTTCCCTATTATTTCCCTAGTGTGTTCCCCATTATTTCCCTATTATTTCATTATTATTTCCTTATTATTTCCCTATTATTTTCCCTATTTTTCCCTATTATGTCTCTGTTATTTCCCTATTATTTCACTATTATTTCCTTATCATTTCCCTATGTGTTCTCTATTTTTTCCCTATTATCTCCCTATGATTTCCCTATTATTGCCCTATGTATTTCCCTATTATTTCCCTATTTTTTCCCTATTATTTCCCTATCATTTCCCTATTATTTTCCTATTACTTCCCTAGTTTTTCCCCATTATTTCCCTATTACTTCCCTATTATTTCCCTATTACTTCCCTATTATTTCCCTACTATTTCCCTATGATTTCCCTATTTTTTCCCTATTATTTCCCTATTATTTCCCTTTTTCTATTTGTTCCCCTATTATTTCCCTTTTTTTTCTTTACTATTATTTCCGTAGTTTTATGTTTTTTCCGTATTTTTCGTCATTATTTCCTTTTGTTTTGCCTTTTGTTTCCCTAGTGAAAGGTGTGATTCAATGCCTACGTCGCATGTTCTGCTTAAGCGTGGGCTTACGCACTACTTACGCGGCCACTATTTTGACTAACGCCGGGGTTGGGGTGTGAGACGGTCTTACACAACAGTTACGTGACTTGAATTGCCCCAAATGTGATTTTCCTACAAAGAATTGCCTCCGCAGCCACTTAGGACATGTTGACAGGAGTGCTTTGCTGGCGCCGGACAGCCATCTGACACAACTCTTGGTAGACACTTGTTTTGGACCCTGCTCACCTGCACCTCTTCTCCAAAAAAACAAGCCACGTGAACCTTTCTGGTGCCTCAGTGGTTCCTGTGGCTTAGTTTTTGTGAGAAGAGATGCAGGTGAGCAGTGTCCAAAAAAGCCCTTCATGTGTATTTGGAAAAGCAAGCGAGGAACCGCATAAGGAGGGAGGGGCACGAATCTCAAATCCTGTTCATTGACATGATCAACCATTGTTGACAACATTTAAAAAATAAAGGGTCTTGAAAGCAGAGATCTTCTTACTTGCTCAATTTGATAACAAAAACTTGAGGAGGGGGGACGAAAGGTGGGGGGGGGCAAAAGATACTACTACTACGACGACTACTACGACGACGACTACTACTACGACGACGACTACTACTACTACTAGTAGTAGTTCAATATATTGCATTCCACTGTTTTGCGAGACAGTTTCAACCATAGGATTTCCTATGTAGGTGTTCATGGATAAATCGTTTAGGCGCTTGCTCATACGCTGATCGGTTTCTAACAATTGTTGTTTTCGCAAATTGCGCTCCATAAATTTCATATATTTCTGTACCAAAAACAATACTTTCTGTGGACCCAGTGGGAGAACCTCCACAGAGTCAACCCCTAACTTGGTTGACCCTCTGGAGGCCCCTCCACCGGGTCCACGTATTTGGCGTTCGGAACGTAATTGTACAGAACAAGAAACGATATGTTATGTATACTTAGTAGAAATCACAAGGTCAACAACTAACCAAAAACATTAGTTTCTGTGGACCCGGTTGGATTTTATGTAAACTTGCTAGAAATCACAAAGTCAACAACTAACCAAAAACAATAGTTTCTGTGGACCCGGTGGGAGAGCCTCCACAGAGTCAACCCCTCACTTGGTTGACCCTCTGGAGGCCCCTCCACCGGGTCCACGTATTCGGAGTTCGGAACGTAATTGTACAGAACAAAAAACGATACTTTATTTAGACGTGGCGGAAGCGCCTCCACAGCGTCAACAACTAGCTCAGTCGACTCCCTGGAGGCCCGTCCAACGAGTCCGCGTGCTGACAACACGGTATACCTACAAGAATAACGATTCATTCACCAACAACAAGCACACAAACATTCCAGCTGCTTGGGTGAGCTTTTCAAACTCCAAAAGTTTCTTTCCAACCGATTCTTGTCCAAAATGCCTACCTTATACATCTAACGTTAGAAATCGGCAAACTCTTCAACGCAATTTCCACGAAGTCATGAATCTAATGATCTTCGGCTATCTGTAGCCAAATGTCTTGTTCAAATCTTTCTCAAGGAATGATCTCCGAGACATGCAAATCAAAACTAGAGCAAAGAATTTCCAGTTCAAGTCTCCCACAAACCTTGCCCCAACTGACTAGCAAGCATTTCTAACTACCAGCCTCGCATTTACTACGTAAATGCTACCTTTTCTACGACCTACGCACCACACAGACTCCCTCAAAGTAACTAGATAGATAGATAGATAGATAGATAGATAGATAGATAGATAGATAGATAGATAGATAGATAGATAGATAGATAGATAGATAGATAGATAGATAGATAGATAGATAGATAGATAGATAGATCGATCGATCGATAGATAGATAGATAGATAGAAGGATAGATAGATAGATAAATAGATAGATAGATAGACAACTAGATAGATAGATACAACTAGATAGATAGATACATAGATAGATAGATGGATAAGGAGGTAAGTACATAGTCAGAGAAAAAGAAAGAAAGAGATGCGGACCAGGGGGGAATCGAATGGGGGGCCCCCCCCCCCTAAGTGGAGATTCAATACTCTCAGCTCTCAATTTCCGGGAAAGGAGCAGCCACCTCCCCCAGTACTAAACTAGTACTAAAGTACATAGAACTCAGGTAGCCTAGGCTACCTTTCGTGATAACACCCTCTACAAAATCAGACTTTTCAAGCAAGATTTACCCCCTGTAGAATCAGAACCACCATCTCGATGATATTTGGTAGAAAACCCGAAAAGAGGCCCTCTATAGAATAAGAAACAGGAAATTGAAACTCTATACAGTAGAATCTGAACACCAGTTTCCAAGGCATGCAAAGTGCGTGATAAAAAAAGGATCTATTTGGAGCACGTGCTCCAAGATCTTGCAGAGGAAATTGGCAGGGTGATGTATTAACCATATCTCAAAAACGACACAAAGAATGTGCTTCACCCAACTCCGAAACAACCCAACAGTAGCCGAACCAAGCCCAACAGTTGCTGCAACGGCTGAAAATGCAGCCACAACAGGTGGATCCCAGAAGAATGCAGGGATGGTTCTTGAATATCAAGATACATCACCAACAGAGTGAAACTTGAATCTAAACACAGGAAACAAACCGAACACTTCATGGAATCGGCACATCTCAGGCTCCCAACCCCGCTTAGCACTTGGCAGAGCACTCTGGACGCATCGCGTTCGATGGCTTGGAACCTGCGCTGGAATGATTAGCAGTAGGACCTGATAGGAGAGTCCGCCCAGAAAAATCTCATAGCATTTCCATTGGAATATGGGATTCTTCCGGGATTCTTCTGGGATTCTTCTGGGATTCATCGCGGTGGATGATGCTTCATGATGGTTCATGATGGTTCAGGATGCTTCTTCGATTCCTGTGGCCTTTGGGCATCCAAGACTCTGAACAAATACTGGTTGATATTCCTCGATGATGAAAGCCCATGAGGAAAAGTAGTAGAAAACCCAAGAAGCACACATTTCATAAAGATTTTGCAGGCTGATCCAACTCAGAACTATGCTCTCTATTCCATGGACGCTATACATACGAATCTTTGGTGCTTCATTGGGCCGCTGTCGGTGCCTCAACGCATCTTCGCAAATGGAAGCCAACCTCATTGCAAGGCTGCGGCGAACACCAACCCATCCTACCGGGTACCAATCCAAACACCCAACAAGACCCATTGGCTGCTGGTCCAATCCCAATCAATACATGTTTAAATCCCATGATTTCTTTGATTTCTTTGATTTCTTGGTGAGTCGGCCTTATGTATCCTTATGTTAGATATGTTAGATATGTTAGAAACCGAGCTTCCCCACTTGCCAAAGTCAACCCCTTCCGCGCCCTCTCCGGGCGCGGACTTCAAGGCTTCTTGCGCGGCTACAACCTTTGGCCTGGATCCGCTGCAATTCAATGGATCTGCGGACGGCTATCGGCTATCCCTCTTCTCAACATCCAAGATGGAGGATGTTCGTGCATAATAATGGATAATAATGGTATATATAGTATGATAATGTATGATACTGGTAGTATTATTCGAAACTGGAGATTTAAAAGAAAAGATTGGAACAGTTGCACACCATTTGTAGAAAGCTCCAGGTGGAGATGACTGTACACGGGGGATCAACCACAGTTCCTCACGGCTTAGGACCATCTTCAAAGCAACAAACGGAAGTTCCCAATCCAAGCGCCATGGGCTTTGGTAGGAATACTGTCCAAATTGGATGTATTTTTTCTGGAAGCCCATTAGGGTGACGGCAAGTCGTAGCAAGTCGTATCATATGTGAGATCTGGCGCCCAGATCATCATTTCGGGGAAGTGATGATGCACAGACTGTGATGCACAGCTATCTTTCCATTCCTGGTGAATCATCTCTAATGTTAACCCCGGATGAACTCCCAGTTTCTCAACATGGGGGATTCCCAAAATAGTGATATTTCCCTTCATAAATGGTACACCCCCGTTTAGAAAAAACCTGGCTTGATATTATGACTGTTCATAAACCATGAATACTATATTCCCCTAAGTTACCCTGTTAACCTCACCTTCTATTAGCTGTCAACCGTAAACATCACATGGGTCACATGGCCGAGCGCCTAAGGACCTTGGAAAGCAGTCGCTGGCAGAGCGCAACCAAGCTGCTACGCGCCTTCCAACGATACTTAGATGCTGATCTTATGGGATATATATATATATACATATACATATATATATATACAGTATGTATATATATAATGATCCATAATGCAATATAATGGATATCGATACTTTGATTGAAAGCCCGGTTTGCAATTTGGAACATACGATCCCATGAAATCGATTGGCGTTGATCATCGATCAGAATGGGATTGTCCATATGGATCCATTGATCTACAGCATGAGATTGTCCGATGGAGGTTTCACCCCCCGGTCCGCCTTGGGGGTTTGCCGGCGAGCCCAATGTAATAGCCAGGGAGGCGCCTGCAGTCGAAAAGAGAGAGATTCCGAATTCACATGCTACAGGAAGTCCACAACAGGAGGATACTCCCCAAAAGAAACTACTAAACATTACATTAAACACCCAAAAGGAATGATCTGAGATATCTTGAGCCACATTTTGATATTTATATTGTATATAATTATAAATATATATATATACATACATATATACACACATATTTGTGAGGCTTCAACCAATTCGACCAGGTTTTCGGCTCCACCTCATCTCCAGCATCTGCCAGGCGATCGAGTAAGGAATCTAATTCCTGGCGATCTGCCATGATTCTTCCGTGGTGTGAATGAAATCCCAGTTTGAGCCATGACGACATGATGTACGAGCGTGCTGCTGGATTTCCGATGATTGGGTCCATTTAGACTATTTAGACTATTTAGACGTTCAAAGTTACGTGAAACTGTGGTCTTAGTCAAGATTGGGTACCCAAAGACATTGGATGGTTCTTGCGCTCACGTTGACCAATCCCACGGCCGATCTTATCACTGCAAAAAGCACTATATCTTTTATATTTTTTAGCTGTGTAGCTTAATAGTCTTCCATTTCTAGCCAAAAAAATGCCACTTCCACCTGCCTGGCTGCTACATTTCCCGGGTCGTGAGGTCGCTCTCAGGACCGGCTGTAACCTGGCTGCGCTTTGTTGAGTTCAATGTGTTGCCGAGACATTCAAAGTCCGTGTATCGTGTTTTATATCTTGCCCCTAATCCTAAACAGAGCACCAGTTGGCTTTGGCTCAATCGACCCAAGAAATTACATTATTACATATATTTATGTATATATATATACAGAGAGATAACCATCAAGAACGTTGGTCAGTTGGTGTCCCATCTGTCACCGGCTGTTGGCCAAGCAGCTTGATGCTGAGGTCTGGTGGCCCCGGCGGCGGTTCATCGGCGGCCAGCGGCTCATAGGGAGTATTTCCCTTGAAGCATCCGCTACCCATGGCCCTGCCCGGCCATACGACTCCTGGAGCGAATTCTGATGGTTGCTGAACGTTGCTGAACGTTGCTGATCTGGTTACGTCCCTAGTGATTCTAGTGATCCCTTGTGGTGACAGGAATTCTTCGATGACCATGGTGGTACCCCAGGCCCCACATTCGGTCATTGCTAAAAGGACCGTTGCTCAAATGTGTTCTCCAGCGTGAAACCCTGGACAACACGCTCCTTCCACACAGACCGAGCCTGCTCAAACCAACTATGAGCGCGTCTATGACGGCTGCAAGCGGTTGAAAATGTGGCGCAGCTTGCTGAGTAAGAAAGGATGTATGCGGCTTACAGTGCTTACGGTGCGTGTGGTTGGGATGTTTAAGTTTGAAAGGCAGCTTGTTTGCTGGCCACTGTATTTTGCAGAAGTTGTGCACTGAGTCAAAGTCTCTGAGGTTCCAAATCTGGCATGTAAATTGTAGGGGCTTTTGCATGCGGGACAATGTGTTGACTTCTGCTAGTGGAAGATCTACTGAACCTAAGCCAAGAGCCTTTGCGGGCAGCGTTCAACTGTATCTTTGCATGCAGGATAACCGGAGGGACCAACGTGTTTGAACTCGGAACAGGAGGGACTCATGTAGTTCAATCATTCAAACCTACATATTACATCGGTGTTCAAGGTCTGGAAAGAATAGATGAATAGATATTCTGGCTTCCAAAAATGCCTGGTAAACCATGTGGTTGTTGTTGCCAGTTTCCCGGGGTTTCCCGGGCGACCTGGGCGACACCATCCCCACAGAGCTGCAGAAACAGCGGGACCAAGTTGCGCCAAGTGATGTCCTGCCGTTGGATGTGGATGTCCCAGCAGATAGTAAATGACTAGTAAAGACCTTTCAGAACTAGTCAAAACATCTTTCAAGCCATTTGAAAGAGCCCAATTACATGCGGCATAATCATACCCTTTGCTATACTCATTGGGAGCTCATTGGGTTACTACCCACTTACTCATTGGGATGCAGCCCTAAGTCCGTCCTTGGTCTCAGCCATAGAGCCTGCTGACAGCGCTCGCAGAAGCTCCAGTTCAAATCTTGTTCCGTGGTGATTTTGAAATAATCAACATAATTATACAATTACATTACATAACATAACATAACCATTGTAGTCGATATCACCATACAAGAGGATAGCTGAGCCTGCGGCGTCACATGCATATATATATATAGTATATCATTATATCATTAAGTGTCATCACACGAAGATAGTTTTTTTCCATCCTCGACGAATCACCGCTCTTACCTGGAGTAGCTTCAGCCTAAAAAAGTGGTGCTACAAAGTGGCTAGGGTTTAGGGTTTGAACCCAATTTAGAAGTGATACTTGGCTTTGTAGTAATATCAACATAAATCCAGGTTAACAACCCCCAGTGCATTCCCGGAAATAGTGATAGACTAGTTCGAACAACATTAAGCATCTAAAACTCCACATTCCTCATAATTCCAAAATCGAAAGTTACATTAAAATCTCCACTACTTGATCGAAATAGAATATGTTCTGTATATAGTATACTTATATAATCTTATAGCATCTTTTATATATATATACTCGACAGATCTGTGTGAAAGCACACCCCCATTTGTACATGAGATGATGTGGGGCTAAAAACTACCCGCCTGGGCCTTCCTCAGTAGTCGCCTGAGAACAAAAGTCTGGATTTCACTTCACGAAATGAGGTAATCCTCACGGCAATTGCACTGCCATTGGGCTGTAAACATGGATGTTGACTAGATGGGTGTGTCTGAAAATAGAGAAAACCCCTAAACCCAATGGTTTTGCTGATGATTATCCCTATTTTTTATGGCTATTTCATTGGGAATATACCCTATTTTCAGACAAACCCAGATGGGTGTAACTCAAGAAAAACAGCGGATGAAACCAGTGCCGTGAATTTTCGATGTAATCAAAAAAATCATCTGATGTCCCCAAAAATGTCCTACCGCAAGCGTTGCGCTCATTTATCTTTCCGTGCCAAAGGAACCATTTGGAACCACGTTGAAAACCATAGACAGGACGCAATTGTGTCTGTTTCTTTGGGAAAATCGTAGCTCAGAAATGGGACAAACTGGGCAAGTTCACAATAAATGATGAACCTTTCAAACCATGAGTTCTCCCCAAAAATGCACCAGTTCTGTAGTGTGAAAAAAACACCATCTTGCTGTCAAGCCATTGGAAACCAGTAACAAAAATGGGCGGTTGGGTGTCGTAGAGCGGATTTCGGTAGCTTCAGTTTGATCGCCAAACCAAGTTCAGACTGGAATCATCTGTGCCATCCAATATGTATATTTGAAAGCAGTTATCAACATCCAAAAGACACAGACAGTTCAGCCCAAAGGCTACAATTTTTGCTCATTAGAAATATCAAAAAAAACACGGCCCCGTTGCGCAGACCCTGCGCCTGATTTCCCTGGTTTTGACCAGCTCGCCTCAGGCACAAGATGGAGGATCTTTGGCTCTTTTAGGCCACGGTCCATGGATTTTAATGTGGAAAATGATGGCTCAATGATCTTCAATCATTTTCAATGATGCAACTTGTTCTTTTTTCCCCAACATGTTGAAACAAACCCAAAGTTCAAGCCCAAAAATTGCAATTTCATCTCGGAAAATCATCTGCCAAGCGCATCTCTGGGTGTTTGTCCAAAGCACCCAACTTCAATCCTTCAATGGCTTTAGGATGCTTTAGGTCATGAGAAAATGATGAACATTGGGGTGACAGCGTCGTTAAAGACCCTCTGTCGAAAAGGGGTTAGGTCGAAAAATACGGATAAAATCCAAGGCCAGGACTCCGGCCCAGCCGCAGCAAACTTCTGCCGGTTGGTTCATCGATTTATATTGATTCATAGGCAATTCCTATGTGGATTCTACTCAGTTTATTATCTAATGTTGATCATCAGTTTTGACTAGTGGATTATATGGATTACTATGGATTATTCATAATGTTTATCTCATGTTTATTCTACTCATAATCATTATTCAACCATTCAGTTTTTACCCCATGGGCCCCATCATTGAACCATCACATACCATCAGGTTCTAGGCACCAGACGGGCTGAAGACTAGGCAGATCGGGCCTCAACCACGGCCAGATGGGGGTTGTCAGATAAGAAAATGAGGACGGGATGGAAATGTAAATGGATATTCAACATAATATTGGAATATATTGGATAAGAATAAGAATGATAATCATAGTAATATATATAGTAATTATATAGTAATTATCAGTAATTAGTAGTGATGGATAACGCTGAATAACACGCGGAAGTCCCCGCAAATGGCGAAGTTATCATCATCCAGAGGGAAAAATCGGCTCAACAAAAGTCTGTTCTGCAGGCGCCAGAGACCTTCACGAGCAATGGTCTCAACAGTAATCTATCTGCAAGTGAAAGATACTGAAAGATAAAGACCGAAACAATGAACCCCTCTCCAATATCTCCAATATCTCTGATATCTCGGATATCGTTTGAGCCAAAGACTTTAGGGCCCTTTAGGGCTCTTTTGGATGCTCCCTAGAAGTTGGTCCAGTTGGTCCAGTGGCAAAGCCTGGACCCCGGACCTAGTTGTTGGGCAGCCAGGTGCCGACACCGCCAATTCTTCACCTGGCCGGGCCTTCGAACTTCGAAGCTCAACGGTAGTTGTTCCTGCCAAAAGTTGGGAAAACTACGGCAAGTTTTTCAACCTTTGGACAGGTTGGACAGGTTTGGTGATTTTGGAAGGTCTTCCAGTCTTCCCATCACTTCCCATCACTTCCCATCACTTCCCATCACAACTTCAGCCCCACTGACCCCACTGACCCCACTGACCCCACTGGCACCTTCCCCATGCCATTCATCAAGGCTTGGAGCAAGCTGCGCTGCACTGCAGGCCTTCAACGAGACTGACGTCGTCTCTGGATATATTTGGGGAAGGTGGCCATGGCCTGCCATGGCCAAAATGGCCCTTTGAGGAGAAATATGGAGAAATACTTGCATGACTCTTTCACTTCATTTGATATATTTAAATATGTGATGATTCAATGAAATTCAATGGCCCGATGGATCCAATGGCATGTTTTAAGGGAAATTGTCATGTTTGAAACCATGGTTGAAACCTGCTGCCCTGCAATCATGGGGAACTCTGGCCTCGCCGCTGCCTGCAAGAGACTTGCCACCTCAGCTGCATCCACCATGCGGATTGGGATTGATGGTGATATTTTCTGGATGTCAATGGGAGATATGAAAAAAAAAATGACATCCCATGTGTCTGAAAATTAAAGGATACCCCCTGATTTAGGGCTACAAGAACATGTTCCAATCAACCCAACCGGCCAGGGGACTCTGCGACAACTTGCCTCTGACTGGGATCTCCTGCAGTCTTAATCGCTGCCATGCGGACCTTCCACCAAGCTGCTGCAGTTTCGCAATGGACTCTTTTCGGACTACCCCTGGACCCGCAGATTTTGGGACCCAGATATCGCCGGACCTCCAACTGCGTATCCTGCAAGAATGCTTCGAAACTGGGCAACACCTGTGGCGCCAGGACAGAAAACCCCCAGAGAGGGGTCAAAGTTTTCCCCCTCGCCGTAGGTCCATCGAAATTTCAGCCCCAAAAACAAACACCAATTTCGGCCTCCGCTTCGACCAAGTCGGGACCCAGAGCTTGGGCCACCTGGGCTTCGTGGTTTTTTTGGGAACCAAAATTCGTGGATTTCATGGATTTTCATGTCCAAAACTTCAATCCAGATCGGATTGATCGGATCCGAAGAGGCCAAGAAAAGAAGGTACAAAGAAGGTACCAAAAAGGGGTTTTGGTGTGAACAAATCAAGAAGTGAAGGAACATGCCTTGACAGAACGTGATTCGCTGAACGAATTAAGAATGGGCTCTCCAGTTTTGGAAAAGATTTCGGATGTTCTCCATACGGAGAACTATCCGTGTGGCACAATGTTTTCGAGAATGCTTTCGAACAGCTGTTGGAGCAAAACTGATGGAGGGATGCAATATTAGTATTGCTAGCGTCCACACACGATACTGGTGTTCAGCAAACTTCAGAAGCCGCTGTTTTCCCTTCCAACATCTCTCAGTCAGCCTGGCCCAGGCATTGCCTTTGCAATCAATCGACTGAGACATGAGACAAAAATCCGATGACCTGACAGCTCTTCATGATCACCCCCTTCCTGAAAAAAAAACAGGACGCCTATTGGACTGAACGATCGATACCACAACATTTCTTCGCTTTGCACATTGGAGTGTCTGCTCAATGGTGGGAGCTGGGAGTGATGAGGAAGAACCTAGGACCTAGGGATCACGATGCAGCGTATCAGCTCAGCTTTTTCCCAAGCATCAAGGGCATAGAGCGACGCTGGGGGCTGGGGGGTATGCTGAGAGCTTGTATAAAATCAGGAGACTCATGGCCTCAGAGCCAAATTTTCACCGGCTCACCCGGCTCACCCTGTGCCGTCACTGGAGACACGGATGAGAAGCTTGGGGTTTGCTCCTCGCCCTCGGCTGCAACAGTTTGTTCGCTGTGGTAACTTTGGTAACCAAGGTAACCACAACTGCCTGTTGGTGGTGACAAGCCCGGCGGGGCATCAAGAAAGGGCATCATCTGCTCCATCAGTTTGAACCTGGCCTCAACCATCTCCAAATAGCTGAGTTGGTCGGTCAGTTCTTGACTGAGTTGGTCGGTCAGTGCCATCATCCCTTGCACTGTTGCGGAATCCACTGGGTAATCCAAGCAGGCAAGTGCAGATGCTCGCGCCGCAGCCTCCTTTTTGTTCGACCTGGCCATGGATTTTTGTGGCACCAATTGTGCTAGGCTGCGAAGTTCATGATGTCCATGAGCAAAGTTGCATCCTTGGCCCTTGCGGCAGTTTCCCTTTGCGAATCGGAAGCAAAGTTCGGTGGCTCGAAGGCTCGGCCGCTCTCTCAATTCCGCCTTCGAATGCGCGAAAGAGCAACCCATGCCGCTGAAGCACGTGCCAGAAGCCCAATGCCTTCACTCATTCCACGCAGGACACAACGGGACACAATGAAACAATGTGAAACAGCTAATTATGTGAAAAAGATTGCTGACACAAGTTACAATGGACACAAAAAACATACCCAAAAAGAAAATAAAACCATATAAAACCGAGGTTCCTGCACAGTTGTGTGCATTTCAAGGACTCCTGCGTTTGCTTCGTTGTCATTTCCTCCTCAATAAAAACCCCAGGACCAAGCCCAAACGGCTTCAGTGGATCCAGATATTATGTGATATTATCCTATATCCCCATGAATATTCCCATTGAAATCACAATTGTGTGCGGTAAATATCCCGATTAAACCAGCATTTTGTTGGTCGAACCAGCACATTCCAGTTATATCCCCATGAAATATCTCCAGTTGAATCACAATGAAAAGTGGGTTAACTATGCGCAAATCCTTTTTTTTTGCGGTTAAACCCCAATTTTTGAATATTTTTGATAGTTAAGTGATGTGAAATCCCCGTGTTTCAGAGCCATGACCGTCGCTGGGCTGCCGAACTATGTGACAAGACGCGGCCATGGCCTGACAGGCTACTTGACAAGACGCGGCCATGGCCTGACAGGCTACTTAAGTAACCATGGTTGGAGGTAGGCCGCAAAATTGGATTTTTTGGGAACTTTAACCATCAACAATGGGGAGTTCATAGGATTTCATGGGATTTTCATGGGATTTCATAGGTGGTATGTCACCAACCATGTGTGTTTTTGGGTGTCTCTGCAAAAGGGGATTCAGCAGCAAGGCTTGCCGCATCCCATGGGACGAAGCTATCGGGGGTATACCCCATCGTCACACGCAACAAGTATCACATTGTCGACTATATATACATCATACTTATATATATATATTACATAATATATATATATATCCCATCATACAAATCCCCCATTTTTGTTGGTGTTGAGGTACCCATGGGTTTAAGGGTACCCCCATTTGGAAAAATACCAATATATCATGCCCACATCTATATCCGTCCCAAATATCTCTTCTGCCTTCCGTGTCTTTGCTTGCGCATCGGCACAAAGGGCTGTGAAGGCTGCCTGCATCGGCAGGAGGCGCGAGTGCAAAATGCTTTCCAAGGCGTCCATGTTCGGTCCAGCAAATCGTTTTTGGGGATTTCAGCAACAAATTAAGCATCAAAACTCAGGAGGATTAACCAATGATGATGCATGATTTCAGGTCGCGAATTGGTTCTACTGGTTGATCGGGATTCCCATCATGGAATATAATAATGACAAGAATAAGAATAACAAGAATAATGATAATCATTTCCGTTAAACTATCCAGTAGAACCCCCCATTGTACTCAATAAAGAGATATAAAGAGGGGGTTTTGGTCGCTGCTGCTCAATTGGGTTTGATTGATCGGAAAGTGGCTGATGCTTGGTTCTCTACCATGACTATTGATCATCACATTGATCTGGAAATAATTTCCTTCCTCGATGGGGGTACCCCCCAAATCATCCATTGTAATAGGATTTACCACTATACACCATCCAGCTATGGGGTACCCCCATTCTTGGAAACCCGAGTCTGAAGAAATCCCACCCCACAAATTTCGGTTCCAGTGCCACCTTCAAGGATGGCCATTCACTTGAACCTCGGGAATCGCCGATGTCACCATGTCAATTTTCTGTAGAAATGACGTGGTGGGTGGATCCTCGAAAAGGAATTGGATTATGAAAGTTGACGCACGGAATTGAATTCAAATTGGAACATCCGTCCAAAAAAGTTCCATTCGTGAAGGCGCTAGAGGTGATAGGCCCGACTGCAAACCGCACCAGCAATAGCGAAACACATCGAAACACACATCGCTCCAAAACGCAAAGAAAGTAAAGACATACAGCCATAAAACTGATGATATTAGTAAATCCATCAATTGGTGGTAGTTTCAGTTTCTCTCAGACTCTCATCACTTATATGATATAATAAGTTTAGTAAATCCATCAATTCCCCGCTTTTTATTGTCCATCAATTTGGACTGTTGCAGCTAAGTCAACCAAAATCCAGGTTCCACACCCATGGTTCGCACCACTGCGGCAAAGGTGAAGGCCTTAAGCGATGACTGGAGCGATGACAGCCAGTGGCAAGTCGCCAAGAAATGGAGACGACCTGACCTCCGTCTCCGAGACCCAGACACAATGGAAACTCATGTCAGCTGCATCTGGATTTGCCTCAGACAAAGAGCAAAGAGAAAGTCGTTCTGGAGATCAACCAAGGTGTTGACCCACACCTCAAATGCCCAAAGCACTTCAAGACTCCAAGTTACAGCTTCTACTTGGATGTGCGGGAGCAAGTTGGTATGGAGGTTTGTTTGAACCACGGCTACTTCAGCCTCTTCAAAATGGATGTTCAAACTGATCATACTCCACTTAAAGGTGATAATTGATATAATTGATACTTAATATATTATGTCAGTATCAATATATTAATTCACCACTTTAAATTGGTGATTATTATATTAATTATATTATTGATACTTATTGATTAACCATACCCATAATTGGTGATCAAATGGGTCCAGTATGGACAAGGCACCATGGATCCTCGCACCACCTGGAGGTACTGCTCCAGCAAGGTCTTTGGAACACTGGCAGCGTCCTCGCTGGTCATATCTGTGGTTTCATGTGGTTTCCATAGTCATGGCATGTCGTGGGGGGTACCCCAAAAAATGGATAGTTGACATTGTTGACATGGAAAATCCTATTCAACTGGATGATTTGGGACTACCCCCCATTTCAGGAAACCCCCATATGTCATTCAATAATATTCCAGAAAAATCCAATCTGAAATTTGGGGTGATGTGCAAAATTGATGAAACTTGGCCAGCTATCGAGGTAAAGCCAGCAATTTCTTCTGTGGCAATCACTTCCCTATTCCAGATAGGTTGAAGCTACCCAAGCTACCCTGATGGATGTAGTTTGACTTGTTTCACATGCAGATTTTCAAAAAATGTTCGAAAGGTAAACTCCAATGGTGGATTTGGGATCAGCTATTGAAATGTATTGAAATTTTCGACGAGTCCTCGGATCCGTCCTCCAAGCAACCGATGAAGTATCCCAGTTGCTGCAACATGGCGCAACTCACGAACCTGGCACTGGACTGGGCAGCTCCGCTGTGGATATGTCTGTTCAACAGTCGCGTATGTAAAACATCTATGTGGGTATGTCTGAAAATGGGGTATACCCCCTATTATAGCCATTTAATAGGGATAATGATCATTAACCATTGGGTGTAGGGGTACACTATTTTCAGACAAACCCATGTGTCGTCATAGACTGCAGACTGTTTTTCATAGACCATATCTGACTAATGCAACATGAGCTTCAAAAATTCACGACCAAAGAATATCAAAGAGACTGATTTTGCCACGAGTCATGCCACCTCGAAGAGTCGTTCAGGAGGTTGTTGACCATGGGCTCAAAACAGGCCTGGAATGTGTGCATTGAAAAAATCATCCAAGGGGCTTGTGGTTTTGAAGTTTACTCTGAAAAAAAAAATGGGACTGGAAAATGCCATGTGTTCAAGAAAGAACACAATCAAGTGCATTTGAGTCCTTTGAGTAGCTTCTGTCCAAGAAATCGGGCCTTCACCAGATGGGCCCCAGCGATTCATGAAACAATTCATGGGTCAAAAGTGAATGCCCCAGAATTTGGATAGCAATTAAGTGTAAGTATATATATATATACATGGTTTGCTGGGCTTCAGATTCTAGCCCTCATACTGTATACCTGAGAATAGGAAAGACTCCTTGCCAACACTGACACCCAGAAATGAAACCCGAACCCCCGCACCCTCCGCTGGTCTGCGGGCATGGTCATGGCAAACCTTGGTCTGCGGGTTTTTGGCTTCAGCGTCAGCGCATTTTTGCGATGTTGGGGGTTGTAGTTGCCAGTAACCCACCAGAACCAGCTGAAATTCTGGGAGCCCATTTCATCCCAGCAACGTGACGAGGTTTTCCGCCACTGCCTGAAGCAGGTCATGGTCGGTCTCTAGTCGGCAGGTGTGGTGACACCATGATTTTGCCAATGCAAAAAGACAGGATTTCAGACCTTTCAAGATGTCGTGCTGAGACTGCTTTTAGCTCAGCTTCAATGTGTTCTCTCTCGCCGTTCTCTGCTAGTCACTGATTAATCATTCTCCAAAACATAACAAGGAACATGACCAGAACAGTGGGATCACAAACTGGGTAAGTCTCACGGACAAGAAAATGTTCATTCGCGTTTCTGTTGGTTGTGATGATGGTGAACCCCCATTTTTTCTGGCAGGAAACTCACATCCCAATCTTCTCCCATCTAATGTGCAGTGATTAGGTGCTTTCTTCCTGCCTTCTTTACGCCCCAGTGAGGATCTTTCGTCAGTTTCTCAAACCTGAGCCAGCACCCAAGATGGAACGAGCACTCACCACCAACACCTCACGTCCCCAAAAATCACGTCAGATTTACCGCAATTCAGCCCCTCCCTGTCATTGCACATGTTTATCATCATGTATCAACTACATTCCTGAGTTCCTGCTAGTAAATATCCACATATGTATATATATATAACTATATACATATGAATATCATGGTTAAATCATGTTAAATCCCCATGTTCACTGGCTAGATCCACTAAAATCCTCCATGTTTTGCTATATAGTAAATGTCCATTTCTTTCATAGTCACATCCCAAGTTTCCCCAAAATGTCCCCACCAAGTCACGCCGGCACCAAGCGCCGCCGCACGTCGGCGAAGCTCAGCATCTTGGCGACCTTTGGGTATAGAAAGGCTCGGGACTGGGTCATGATGGTCATGTGTGTATCAATATACATATATATATATATATACATATACGTATATATATATATATATATGTGTATATATATATATATGTGTGTGTGTATCTGTGAGTCTGTTATCTATGTATGATATATCTGTTTTTTTGTGGAATATGGGTAGGACATAGATGTGGAAATCATCGATATGTCGAAAGGTATGGTTCAAACCCGAGTGGGGATGGATCGAAATAGTGGGAGCTTGTCATCCCTTGGTAGAAGCAATATGACTAACCAATAAAAAGTGGTCATGTGACAGAACCAGCAAAACATGAGTGTCTATAGATCAAAAAATGAATGGACAAAATAGATTTTTGCATAGCTTATCATAGCTTAATTGAACGAAGCAAAACTGGAAATTGGACATCACCCACCACACATTGGTATCACCATCGGCGTAGCCTCGGCAAAGCCGCCAGCTGCAGCTTTCCGGACCCTGAAGGATTGGTCCTGGTCAAACAACAGAGCTGTCAGTCTGGGGTTTCTGTTTCGCTTCCAACAATTTCATCCCCATCGATGTTGCCAAAATGTTCGCAAGGGACTGCCTTTTTTATCCTTTTTTCTTTGCATAAAAGCTGAATTCATGGGTAATTTGTGCACGACTGAGGACTCACCGGGCATGACATCAGCTACATGGCTTTGGACGGCATCACCATGGGCGTCGGAACCGTTGGAACCGGTGGAACCTCAACTCCAGGGCGCAAAGACCATCCAGCACCAGCACACGGCTTGGACGGCATGGATGGTGTCAACGGTGTCATCGGTGTCAACCAGTCGGGTGCCGCTAAGGCAGGCCCGGTTTGGGGCGAAGGGGCCCCTTGGGAGTGGCCTTGGTGGCTTCCTTGGTGGCTTCCTTGGTGGCTTCCTTGGTGGCTTCCTTGGTGGCTTCCTTGGTGGCTTCCTTGGTGGCTTGGGGTTCCAAGGCCCAGGCCACCCAGGCCACCCAGGCCATAATTTCCCAGGTTTTTCTCATCGAAAGCTCGACCAAAGAGTGCCTTGTCACCCAAGCGGCCCAGCAGCACTTGCGGCGTGAGACCCTGTAACTTCTCCTTGAAGTGTTTCAGGACGTCCAACAAGAGTTGTGTCCTCTGCTGTTCGTGTTCCAACAGACCTGCTACCCGAAGACGTTCAGCCTTTTCCTTCTCCAGTGTCTCACGCAGCTGCGCCAACATCACATGGGATTCCTGCGCATAGATCTATCCCATCTGGAGGATTTCAAACATCGCTATAGTAAAATTATGTGGTTTTCTTATTGCCTTTGCTATTGGCAAATCAAATTCTCAAGATTCATCCCAACAACAATCCCAACAACAATCCCAACAATCCCCCCATTCCCCCATCCTCCAGCATGTTTTGCAAAGATTCCAACTCTTTGGCCTGTTTGGCACACTGCGTCACCGAACCCTGGAGCCGTTCGATGCGGCCACACTCGTGCTGCAGCTGATGGTTCACCTGACAATATTTTGGATGGAGGTTAGGATGGTTGCTCCAAGTTTAAGGAAAGCTGGTGCTCATGGAAACACCCAAGATTTAGAGTCATCACTCAAGATTGGATCATCCAAAGCATATTGAATGACACTCCGAATCTTGTTTTTTTTCCATCTTTTCAGTGTTTTTTTCAGCAATGGGACTCTCAAATCCCCACCTCGTCAAACAGGCCCTGCAAATCTTTCAGCTGTCCATTCACATCAGCCAGTTCATGGTTGCGTTGCTGAACCACTGTATCTCGCTGTTGCAGCTCATCGGTCTGCGTCTTCAGCTCATCCTGGGCCAAACCCGTCCCACGAAATGTATGGAACTCATTACCTCACTATTACCTTTATGATATCTACTATCACATTTAGATTCATGTGTATATATATATACAGATAGTGTAGATATGTATGTGTATGTATGTATATATATATATATATATAGACCTAATTACAAACAATGGGTATCCAACACATTCATATTTATATATTTATATATATATATATTGTGAACAATTTGATCCTTGTCCTGGATGTTATCTCAATCTTGTAGTGCCCTTGTTACTGGTAACCGATGAATGCCATGCGGAGTCACGCGACGCATCCCTTTTCTCCATACGCTTGAGCCATTGTTTGGCGGTCACAGCATGTTGTCTTAACAGTGCATGCTGTACATGTTGTGTCATCTCGTTCCCTTTAACACCCCCCATGCCCGTGGTATCTTCAGACCACGGACACGAGAGAGGGAACTTTGAATTAAGATGGTTCTGCTACTTGAATTACGCCTATGTACATAAAACGTGCCATTCGGCTCCCCCTTTCCCACATACCTGACGGGAATAATGGTTCCGGGTTCGCCTACTCTATGGCTGTCGATGCATTGGCGCTTCTTCAAGCTGTACATCGTGAATTATTGCTAGCTAACATCTACTTTTCTACGTTGGCTAGGCATGCCACTCACCCGACGGGAGAAATGGACCGCTTCGCTACCAAAGATTTACAATGCTAACTAACTAAGGAATTCACGTGCACTATGCAGAATTTCGTGCAGATTGGGAATATTGAAAATCTCGGACCTAAGCGAATTAATCTACTGCCTCGCTCAGAGTCCACTCAGTTGGTCTTTTCCAGATCATCTGTTCACAAAGACGATACACATCTTATAGTCCAGTGATCATTTGGATGAACAGAGGTAGTTGGTCTACTGCTCACGGCGGACTTTCTTCCATTGAGGTGTTGTTGGGGATTTCTCCCATCCTGCCGCACGTTTCGGAGCAGCTTTCGGCGATGAAGGCTTCGCAGGTGGTGCTTTGGATGGTTCATAGGACCTCGGCATAGCCTTGGCCTTTGGTGCACTGGCCGATGAGGATGACGCTGAACCAGTGCCTTCAGGTTTCTGTGAAGGCTGTGCTGATGATTTGGCTTTTGCGTCTGCGGTGGCAAACTTGCCAGCGGCACTACCTCCGACTGCTTTGAATACCTCACTCACCACTTCGTCGCCAAGGGTTGGAGCCATCTTCATTTTCATCTCGGACTTTCCCCTCTGCGCCTCGGCTTCAGCCAGCTGAATAGCATATGCCATCTTGCTGACAAAGTTTTGAGGTAATGGAATTCCGCATTGTTGTGCAGCAAAGAGTAGTTCCACCCTTTGTTCCTTTTCTCTCAGACTCAGATATACCGAGAAAGCTGGGAGTTCAATGCAGTTGGGAAAGCCGTGGTTCCCGGAGCGAAAGAAGGTGTATGATTCATGTTCTGGAAAGGTTCCTTTCAGCAGTCGTCGGAGAAAGTTGCTGATGGTCACTCTCATCTCCTGTTTCCCCTGTGCATCAGCCTGCATTCGGTTCATTGGCAGGAGGAAACCCAAGGACTCGGGAGTGTACCCAGCACATACGAGAAACTCCATCATCTTTTCATAGACTTCTAAAGTCTTGACGACAGGCATCATCATGTTTCTCGGTCGTCCAGAGTACATCTTCTCTCCTTCTGACCATGAGTTCTTCTTCCCTTTCTCCTGAAAGAGTTCGTCCAATTCCAGCTCCGTCGGTCGCTTGAGGTTGCCATCCTGGTCTTCGCCTGTATAAGGGCAGAAGTCGTCCAGGTCCAGCCGGACCCGCTTGGTTTCCGTCATCATCGCATAGTATTCCTCTGGGGTCAGAGTGACTCTCTGTTTGTAGTAAAGTCTGAACATTGCGATGATCTTTGACATCACGGCGTTGTCGTACAAGTGAGCCGCGGCCTCGGAGACATCATTGTTGACAAGTCCGTCTCCCGGCATACCCTTGCTTCCGCACTCAAGATTCTTGGTCCATGCTGGTAGTTTGGATGAAGGTTCCTTTTCAGGTTCGACGTCCATCTCATCGTCGTCTTCTTCTTCAACGATTTCGTCGTCTTCCTGTTGAGTTTCCTCCTCCTGATCCATTTCTTCATCATCGCCTTCATTGTAGTCGACCTCGTCAGGGTTGAAGCCATAGTCGTTGGATTCGGATGCGTTTTCTTGTGCTTGATGGACCGTATCCTTGAACAACGATTCTTCTTGTCGACGAACCTCTTCATCGAGCTCTTTCTTTGTGGCCTCATCTTCATCGTCTTCAGGAGCTTGTAGCCGATATGGACGAATTCCACAGCTTTCAAGTTCTGTCCAGCAAACCAGACACACTGCAAGCTTCGTCGGCGTCTCGTTGAGACAATGAGGACAATGACGGCAACCTGAAGTTTGCACCCTTTTGCGTTCGACTATGTAGTCAATCAGCTTGATGCGGGCCAGGTATTGCTCTTGTCCGCCAGGCTCAATGAGGTTGTTCCTGAATTGGTGGACGATGTTCATGGCATCCATGGTGGTCTCGTCATACGGTTGGTCTTCGGCGTCGATGCATTGACTTGCGACCCTCAGGATGGACTCCTTGGTGGCTACAGTTCTCGATTTGACAGTGCCAGACCGGACTACCTGGTCGTCGCCCGACGGGACGAACAACCGGAGCCATGTCTTGTTGTACTGGTCCTTGGGATCCTGAATCCATCCTCCTTTGATCGCCGAAAATGGGATGATCTTTGGTGAAACGATCTGTCCCGAGTCAGTCAATCGACCGCCATACTCCACCATCAAGGTCTCGGTCGGGATGAATAGGCAGATAAAATCCCCCTTTCGCGTATCAACGCTCTTCGTGATGGTCCATGATCTATGATCCCATGGCACATACGGGTTGAAGAACGTGAACATCCGATGACCTTCTCCAAGACCTCCTGGGATTAACCCTTGCCTCCAAATGCTTCGGAGGTTGGTCTTCTTCGTGATGTGGAAACAGACCGGTAATGACATGATGGTGTTGGGTGCGATTGGATGCGAAAGCAACGATGACAGCAATGATACGTCATCTCTGGAAGATCCTTCCTTGTGCCCCGTTGGGGCGCGGACTGCCACTGGGTAGAGCAGTAGCCCTTCGTCGGGGATGTGCGTGTCCGCATCGACTTTGTTGTCAATGCACGTCAAGCTGCTGCGATCAATATCCTTGTTGATCCCGAACGCCAAGACTTGTTCACGCACACGACGTCCATACCGAGCACAATGGAACATGATCTTGAACAGCAATGTCATGCGATAGTTCGCCTCATTGACATTCCATGCATCTTGATCATTTGCTCTTCCCTTGGGGGCAAGGAAGACGTGTGGCCAGCGTGCGTGCTCGTGTCTCCAGATGGACTCACATTTGAGCACTTCCTCAATGGGCACCCAGCCGGCGTCATCACAGAACAGACTCTGTGATTCTGATACCTTCCCCACGTTGTGACGTAGGATCCTGTTCAACGAGGTACTCACCTTGTCCTCGTAGCTGTCGAGTCGGTTGCCAGTCTCGAAGCGATAGTTGGCCGCATATTCCACACCGCCAAAGTAAAAGCAGTTGAAGAAATGGGCTCCTGTTGTAGGAATGATTTTCAAGAAACCATCTTGCGGCGCCTCGATTCGTTTGTAGAAGGGCTTTCTGATGTTGTTGTCAGAGTAGCTTGCAAGGAATTCTGGCAATGACCAGGTGTCACCTCCTCCTCTGACAATAGCGTCTCGGATCACTTCGTTGAGGTCAACGACGTTCTGTGGTCCCAGCTTTGTAACATCACGTCCTTCAATGCAGAACCTACCATACTCATCAAGGTCTCCAACTTCGGACATAGTCCTGGTGCTGTCGTACCATTGGTGTTCACTAAACCTCGGTTTTGTAGGTTCATCCGTTTGCCCCGACCCTTCAGTAGCACCTGATCCGTCCTTTTTGTGCTCAGGAGGTTCCATATCGACGTCATCAGATGTGGGACTATCAGCCTCGAGCGACGCTCGGACGGCCTTTAGCACCTTTCTGACTTCATCCCTCTTCTCATGTTCACATTCAAGGTGACCATGTTTGGTGCTACCACAGTACAAACACACATTGACATCCTCAGAAACGGTGAAGAGTTTTCCCAACGCATCCAAGAAAAAAAATAATGTTGTGATAGTGCTGGAGGCCCTGATACACAATGAAGTAGTCGCACCACCGCATTGCATCCCATCCAGCACCGAACTGAGTTACCTCAGTTGGCTGTGCCAGTCGGCACAGCATGGCTTTCGCCATGTCGAGCCAGCCACAGCTGACTGACCACATTGGCCATATGGTTGAGAATTTTCCAAGATTCATCTTCCTGCACATTGCGCTCCGGCCAGCCAAAACGGGCTTGAAGATAATTTGTTGGTTTGGTGATTTCTCCATGATGTGAAGGACAATCCCAAAAAAGGTGAGTCAGTGTTGCGAAGGCTTCGCTGCACCAAGGGCATTCACTTGAGTCTCCGCGACTGCGAGACAGCCAGGCCGGCGAGACCACACTTCCTAACAGCACCGCGCGGTGGGGAGCGGAAGCAGTTTCAAGGACATGACGTGCCCAGTTGAGATCAATACGGAGCATCTGGCGCTCAATGTTTTCGATGGATTCCGTCTCTCTCCAGAGACGGGCTTCATGACGTTGGCCTTGAAGCCAATCTTGCAAGCACTGCAATCGCCACTGCTGGCGAAGGAGATGGCATTCAGGGTCATGAAAGGTTTTGTTTTCTGCTGCATCCAGAGTGAGAGAAACGCGGCTAGTGTTTGTCCAGCACCATTCTCGGACTTCAGTCCAGTTGTCGTCAGCCAGGTAATTGCGCAGCAAGTTGGTACTGGTCCAGGCACGATTGGTCCAAGTGACTGACTTCTGCTTCTTCAGGCGTCCGAGGCGTCGGAAAAGCCTTTGTTTGATGACACACAAGGGATGAGTGGTTCCACCATAGACTACTTTG